ATACCAGGATGATGCCTGCAGCTATAGGCATCATCCTGGTATAACCATTCAAAGTCCAGGGATGTGCCAGTACGTCACTGGTCCTTGTTGGGTATATATGCTATTTTTTTTTTTTCTTTTTCTTTTTTTTTTTTTTTAATGCGGCCTGTGGGCTGAATGAAAAAATGGAGAAATCTCCGCCAGAAAATGTGTGTGGTATGCCCACCATTAGAATATACCGCTCTGCATCCACCCACTTCTAATGATGGGCACACATTAGGTCGCACGTTGCCACATGCACCAGTTCCAAGATTGTACAAATGTCTAAATAGTGGCACGCTTGAATAAAAATTGTCCTCATATAAGTGGTACCCCATATGGAAAAAGGATGACACCAAGTCCCAAACTATCTTGCCACTGCTCCCCATGTAGTCTGGGCATCCGGGGGGCTCCACGTCTCTATCTTTTCCTTCGTAAATCCCAAACTTATTTGTATAGCCTGTTGCCCTCTCACAGGTCTTATACATCTTGACCCCATATCTGGCATGCTTGCTGGGGAGAAATTGTTTGAATGCAAGGTGACCAGTAAAATTAATGAGGGACTCCTCAACGCAGATGTTTTGCTGGGGAGTATAGACATCTGCAAATTTTTGGTTAAGGTGTTTTACGATGGGCTAAATTTTTTGGATCCAGTCAAATTCGGGGTCACCCCGAGGATGACAGAGTGTATTGTCGTTGAAATGCATAAAACACATTATACTCTCATATCTATGCCTGGCCATGGCAGCAGAGAACACGAGCATATGATGAATCGGGTCTGCGGACCAATACAACTGGAATTAATTCCTTTTAGTAATGCCCATGTTGAGGGTTAGGCCCTAAAAAAAATTTTAAATTCGGAAACCGTAATAGGTTTCCATGCAAATGGTCTGGCAAGGTTTGAATTTGGGTTGGCGGATATAAATTATTGTAAAAAAATAAATTCTTCTATTGACTCAACATGCCTCTCAGCAAATAGTTTGTGGTGTCTACTTTCCAAAAAGGGGTAATTTTGGGGGGTGGGGGTCATTTTATGCCCAGCATTAGAAGCTTATGCCACACATCACTCACTCTTCTACCCAAGCCTTTTCTGACACTTTTTGTTCACATAAAAAATCAGTATTTTTTGATAGGAAATTACTTTAAACCCCCAGACATTATATATTTTTTCTAAAGCAGACACCATAGTGAATAAAATTGTGGGTGTTGCAATGTTTTATGTCACATAGTACTCTCACAGCGATTTTTCAAACTCTAATTTTTTGGGGAAAAAAAACACTTTTTTTTACATTTAATACACAAAATATAAAAGATGATGGTATGTTGAGTAAATGGATACCAAACATGACATGCTTTAAAACTGCGCACGCCCCGTTCAACAGTGACAAACTGCATACATTTTTAATATACATACCTGTAGGTGATGCTTTAAAAGCCTTTAGAGGCTACCATTTTTTATTTAAACAGGATGTCTAGTTATAGAATCACTGCCCTCGATCTGACATTGGCAGCAATACCTCACATGCATGGTGCAACCGCTGTTTACATACCAACACAAGGCCAGCGCATGTGCACGCAGTTGCGCACGCGTGGAGGGACGAGGGTGCTTTTTAATTTTTTTTTTATTATTATTATTTATTTTGTTTTTTTTTTAATTATTTTTACACTGTCCCTTTTTTCTTTTTCTTTTTTTTGATCACTTTTATTATCAGAGTGAATGTAAATATCCCCTGTGACAGCAATAGGTAGTGACAGGTATTCTTTTCTGAGATACCACTACTGTCCACCCTTCTGTCTGTTGCCCCATTGCACTTCTAATACAGAGGGCACTGATATCTCCTTTGAGTTGAGAACCTTGTCGATGTCCTCGCCTCTGTAATCAGTCTGACTTTCAGTAGGGTTTTGCTGATCTTCTAGACGCCCCCCTCTACCTTAATTGACTGTGCATTCTGACCTGCTGTCCTAAGCCTCCATTCATGTGTGAGCATGATTCCCGAAATGCTACAATGATCAAGAAGAAGAATTCCATTATTCTCAATGGAAAGTTCACTCTTGAGCAACGGGCTGCTTCTCACATAGATCTCAAAAAAGTACATGAGCTTCTTTGGTGCAAAAGTACTCACATTTGACAACACAGAGTTGTATAGTAGCACCTGAGGTATGCTTGAAAAAAAAAAAATGCATTCACCTGAGTTTTTTTCCCAGACACTCCCATTTAAAAGACTTTTCGGATGAAAACTTGTGATTCTGAGCTGTACTAGTCTTTCACTGCCATCCTGTAAGACGTGAGATCACAGGAATAGATACAGGGTATAGTTCACAACATGCTACATGCACATGTTCTTGAAGATTTTACATCACGTGGAGAAAAGCATAGTGCAATAGCTCTATAACATACAAGCGAATAGGACGAATTAGGAGGGGAAGAAAAATGAGTTCTCAATATATTGCCCTAAAACTGTCAGAAATTAAGATTAGATTATAGATATCAGACTGGTCATTTGTATAAAAGCTGTAGAATTTGACCGGAGATAATTTTCAAGCATTCTAAGTGGCAGTGTTCCATGTATGCAGTTGATAGAGGACCAGGTGTACAGCAAATAGACTTTAGAAATGGAAGAACAATCTCTTCTGTGTTCCTGATGAAGGGCAAAGGGCTGCCTTCACTGCTATCTCGCGTAGTAAGAGAGCTTAGGCTTAATGTCAGTAAATTAGTTTAACCATTTGCCTACCAAGCACTTGTACTCCCTTCCTGCCCTGGCCAATTTTCAGCTTTCAGCGCTGTCGCACTTTCAATAACAATTGTGTGGTCATGCAACATTGTACCCATATGAAATTTTTTTCTCACAAATAGAGCTTTCTTTTGGAGGTATTTAATCGCCATTGGGTGTTTTATTTTTTGCGCTATAAACAAAAAAGTAGGAAAAATTTGGGGAAAAAAAAAAAAGATTTACTTTTTCTATTATAAAATTTTGAAAACAGGTATTTTTTTCTCCTTCACTGATGTGCGTTGATGAGGCTATACTGATAGGCAGCAGTGATGGGCACTGATGGCAGCAGATGAGGTGGCACAGATAGGTGGCACTGGGCAGGACTGATGGGCAGCACTGATGGATGGCACTGCTGGGCACTGACTCAGGGGTGGCACTGATGGGCACAGGTGGGTGGTGCTGCTCGGCACTGATGGGCACAGGTGAGCGGCACTGCTGGGCACACTGCTGGGCACAGGAGGGCGGCACTGCTCATCAGGGCACTGATCATCAGGGCCGTTCCATTCTCTGACAATTGCCGGTTCTCAGCAGTACTTTGACAGCAGTACTGTGAGAGGAAAGTACAGCCGATAAGCGGCAACTGTATTTACCTGGTGATCTGCTGTGTCGTTGGACACAGCTGATCACGTGGTAATAGGCTGCTGTGATTGGCCTTTTACCACATCACTTGATCAGCTGTGTCCATAGGACACAGCGATCACGGAGATCTTTCCTCGGCCATATGATGCCCCCCAGAACTGGGCAACTGCGCTGTAGCTGTCATTCATCTATAACACGGTTGCCAAGTGGTTAATAGAAACCAGTAAGAAGGAAATTTAAAAAAGGATAGTTAGCAAGAGGGCAACACTTCAAGACATTTTATTCTTGTCTGTTTAGCTGGTATGAGAAAGAACTTTGATTCTTGTTGGCACTTGGTATATCATTTGCCTGGAAGCTTGTTGGGCCCCACACAGTATGCAAAATCTAAGGAAATAGGTTATGAAGTAAAACCTTGAACTCTAACCAGAAGCAAGTTATCTTTGCACAACATCAAGGTGCCTCACAACTCCTGTGTTTATAAACTCATGGCTGTATATCTGCAGTTTGAGATCCAAGGCACTACTGCCTCTGACTGCTAGTCTTCGGAGATTTGGAGTGAGATTCAGCGATGCCACTTATGTGATGCTCACGGTTCTGCTTGCTGGAGGCTCTGACATAAGAATGCAAAGCCCGGCCTCTACCAAAATGGCTATCTTCACACAGACATAGTGCAGAATAAGGCATGGTAAGTTGGTGCCTTGGAACCGATCAGCTTCAGATAGACTGCAGGCAATTCTGTTGACTTTGCCCTCTGGTTGCCTTTTTTGTGGGCACAGCTTCAGTAGTTCAGTTCCTCTTTTAAGATGGGGAAGGCTTGAGCTGTGAATCCTGGCACATTTCTAAGCTGATTAAGCAGCCAGGACATTTGTTAAACATGGTAAGGTGGGCCAGGTTGCCTACTGCTCTTCTTGAAAGAAAGGTCTTTTTGCAATTTCCAGACTGCCACGTTTCAAAATGAACTAAGGCCATGAGCTATCAAGAGAGATGTGTTTCACAAGTCAAATATTTGGTACTTTTAGGCATGATTTGTTTTTAAGAATTGGTTACACTGGGCTACTGCCAGGCAACTGTTTATAACTGTTGTTTACCAGTTTGTTCCCTTACTGTTCTGGTGTCTGATTTTCAATTTTAAACTCCTTTACTTAAACACATGACAGAACATGTTGTCTATTTTAACTCTCTCAAGCTACAGAGAAACAAAAACTAAACATGCTGATGATCACGATAATTTATATTGGTTATAAAAGAATAAATAACAACAGTGACGCCTACACAGGGCTGGAGCATCTGATAGATGTAACAAAGTCAGGGTGATCATAAATGGACAAGAGCATAGGTAGATATTCAGGAATAAAATGGAGATAATACTATTTTTCTCTCTTTGGAGGTCAGTATTTGCAGATAAGTGACGTGATGGGGGAGGTTGGGAGAGAGAAAAAGGGTAGGGAAGGAGGAGGAAGAGACAAGAAAGTGGAAACAAGGGAAGAAAGGGAAAACAGAGCTGAGCGTCAATGGGATGAAAATAGAAGTCGGGAAACATGGACAAAACAAGGGGACAGGTAGAGGAGAAAAGGTATCAGGTTTTATTTAAAAAAAAAAAAAAAAATGTAATATGATTATTTTGTTTTACAGCTTTTGTTGGAATACGAATCCCTTGGAAAGGAACATGAAAGGGTTAAAGTAAGAAACTTTTATATTATATGTTGACTTTTTAAAATAAATATGCCTATGTTCTAGAGAAAGCTTTGACACTGTATTGTGTGTCGTTGTCACCATATATAGGCAGATAGTTTCATGCCCATTAGCAAAAAAAAAAAAAAATATTTGTACAAATAAGTAACGAATCTCAGAACTGCTTTTTACCTTATATCTTTTTCAGGACACACTAGGCGTGACAGAAAATAAGTTGTGTAATGCACAATCTGATGTGAATGAACTCAGAAGGTAATGGTACTTTCTTTACAAAATAATTGGCAATAGTGTGTCTTTTAGTATTTTCTTTGAAAAAAATAATATAGAAAAATCACATAAAATAAATAGTATGCATTATTTGAAGAGAAAAAATATAGAATGGTATGTATTTGAATAGTAATATGGAGGCATTTAGAGGGTAGATTGCATTGAAGTTTTTATTAATGTGGTTGAAAAACAATGTTAAACTTTTGAAGTGTCTGTATAATATGGAGCTTGTATGTAAATTACAATAGTGTTAAAGTTACTAAAACACTCTTCCGGCTGGGTCATCGTCTTGGAGATTTACCTCATCCTCTCAGTCTTACTCTACATGTTTGTACTAGAATGTACTATAAGTGATGTCTGCATTATCTGTCAACTGACATATCTGCCCTCTTGCTGAGTAGTAACCTACATGATCCTCAGAAATTATGCTGCTATGGTCATAGTACAGTCTCACGCCTCTCTGTAGGTTGATAAGTTTTGCGGAAACCCACTGTATCTATGTAACATGTCTTTGGTTGATTACTGTGCGATGACGCTGTTTGTATTATTTTTCTTATGTATTGGTGAACCTTTTTTTGGTTCCCCGTCTGTTAAAAAAGGTTTTCATAAATCAAGAATTACAAAAAAAAAAAAGTTACTAAAACACTAAATTTTCACAGTCATAATTTTGTATGCTATGTATTTAAGGGCGTAGGGGACCTATGTCCATGTCTGCATGTGAAACAGGTTGTGATCCAAGAGGATCTGGACCAAACAGACATCAGAAAATGAAACATGCTGGGTGATATTAGGGAGATATATATATATATATATATATATATATATATATATATATATTATATTATTTCAGGTACTTATATAGCGCCGTCAATTTACGCAGCGCTTTACATATATATGTGTGTGTGTATTGTACATTCACATCAGTCCCTACATGCACCTGGTACATTATAATGATTGATTCACCTGCAGTGAATGTTTGATAAAACGTTTCTCCCTGCATTGTAATGTTAGCCTTAAAATTTAATTTTCATATTCATTTTTGGTCAACAAACAGATTGAACTAGACATTGCAATTTTACTGTATATGATACAACGGGTGGCTTTATTAGTATTTAACTAAACTTGTTTAGTGGGAGTTCTTTTTGTGGTTTCTCTCTTCCAGTTGGATTCCTAACATAACCCTTTTACAGTATGCATCATTTGCACACAGGTACAGTGTTGTTCAGGCTGCAGGATCTTGTGAACCTGAAACAATTAGCATTATGTGTAATGATAGCCTTTAGCTATGACCTAGATGATCAGGTAATTATGTTGGGGAGTACATGATTTTTGTCAGTTACAATACTGTTATTTTCATAAATGGAAGTGTCATTATGAAAATGAGGGACTGAATATGTATATTCTGTTTATAACAGGACAGTTTTAAAGCTGGAAACACAGATTAGGCAACTGGAGCATGAAAACATGGTGAAACTTCGACACATTGCTGAAGGCCAGTCATGGTCATCCAATTCAAGGTAGGTTGTTGCACATTGTCTTCTCTTCATCAGAGATGCTAATCCTTGTCCAGAGTTGTAATTCTTGGGTGGAACCACAACACTGCAGCAGGGGATGCAGTTACCCAACACAGGCATAAGTATTAGATGCTGAAAATTTTTGGGCTGGTGTAGCTCTGCATGAGTAAATATTAGAGGCCCTGGGTATCAGGGCTAATAAGTTTTAGATATACTTTTCTTTATGATGACATTTTTGTTTTTCAGCAATTCTAAAGCTCATACTGTTTAACTACATTGTGTTAAATTATATATGGATAGACATATATACAATGGGTGTTCAAGTCAAAATGGACCTTTTGAGTTTATATAATAAAAGAACAAATTTCAAGGAGAGGAAACTGCATTTATTTTTTGACATACTCCCCTGTTACATTTATACACTTATCCCAGCATTTTTTAACTAATGCCTGGAAAGCTTCGGCATAGAAAGATTTGTCAGAAAGCATGAACCATCCTAGGTCAGCCTGCTTTACTTTTGTCATCAGTACTGAAATGCTGACCTCCAAGGAACTCTTTTAGAGGTCCAAACAGATGGAAATCACTCAGAGTGAGGTGCGGGCTGTAAGGGGGAAGTGACAATGCTTCCCAGCCGACTTGCTGCAATGTGCACTTAGTGCGGTGAGCAGTAGGAGCTTGTGCGTTGTCCTGAAGAAACAGGACGCTCTTAGTGATCAAAATAGGTGTTTTTTTTTCCGCAGACGTACTTTTCATTCAGAACACAGCAGTAATATTCACTGTTGATAGTGGCACCAAGGGGTAGAAAATCCACATTTGTCCCAGAAAATGCTTGCCTTCACTTTACCTGCAGACGCAATTGTTCAGAATTTTTTTGGTGGAGGTGAGTCCACATGCTTCTACTGCTTTGATGCTTGTTTGTTATTCAGGAGTAAAATGACGTGCCCAGGTTTTGTCACATGTAATGATGCGATCTAGAAAATCTGGAACTTCCCTGTCAAAATGCTCTTTCAGTGCAGTGCAGACCTCAACTCTGTGCCGGTCAAAAGTGTAAAGCTGTCTTGGTACCCAGCGTGTGCTAACTTTTTGAAAATGCAATGTTTGTGAATGATTATGTTCACTGTTCCCACAGAAAGATTAGTCTCACTGACGAACATACCAAAAGCACCGATGTAAAAGTTTCAAAGTCTTGCGAATTCAAAAATGCCCTGCCAGGTGGTGGTCATGGCACAGATTTCATTTTGACTGGTGCAAGCTTGAAGGTACAAAAACCTTTTGCTCATGGTAGAACAATCCATCCCATTCTTGCAATTGTGAGTCACTTGGTGGACCTTCTGTACTTGATGCTTGTTTGAGCTGTGACACCAAATCTCCTTGCAGCAACAGAAAACTTTGTGGGGGTAGGATGGTATTGGGCTGAGTAGCTTCCTTTTCTTCAGGATACAGGTAACATGACAGAGCGTCAGTTTTCCCATTCTTAGAATCCGTTCTGTAGGTTATATGAAACAAGAATCTTGAGAAGAACAAGGCCCACCTGGCCTGACGGGGTTTCAAATGCCTAGCTGTACGGAGATATTCTAAGTTTTTGTGGTCCGTCAAAATCAGGATTGGGTGACTTGCCGCCTCAAGCCGATAACACCATTCCTCCAGATTAGACTTGATGGCAAGTAGCTCACTGTCTTCCACATCATAATTTTTCTCAGAAGAGCTGAGTTTCCTTGAGAAGAAGGCCAAAGAGTGTAAAAGTGACACCTTTGCGTAGCGCCTTTGCGTTGAGATAGAATGGCACCAACTGCGTTTTTCTGAAGCATATACTTCAAGAACAAAGGTAATGCAGGGTCAGGATGTTGCAGAATTGTGCCGATGTAAAGAGAGCTTTTAATTTATCAAAAACAAGTTGTGCTGCTGGAGTCCACTGAAATCGGGTGTTTTGTTTAGTAAGCTGAGTAATGGGGCTGATGATAGAACTGTAAAGTTCTTAATGAATTTACGATAAAAATGTTCAAATCCAAGAAACCTCTGGATTCCTGTTCGATCCGTTTGTACTGGCCACTCGAGAATTGAACCAACGTTTTTGCAAATCCATTGCAATGCCTGATGTTGAGATAATTAGTCCCAGAAACTTGATCGTTTCTTTCTCAAACTCAAACTTCTTAGCCTTTGCATATAACTGGTGTTTCTGGATACGGCTGAGTACTTTTTTTAACTTCCACAAGGTGTTCTTCCGTGGAAAGGGAGAATGAGTATGTCATCAAAAAACTCATGAAGAGGTCGATAAAGTCGTTTCTAAAGATATTCTTGACGAAGTGCTGGAAAGTAGCTGGAGCATTGCATAGTCCAAAAGGCATGACTAAACACTCAATGGCCACACAAGTATGGAAAGCTGTTTTCCATTCATCCCCTTCCTGGATTCTTACCAAGTTATGTGCACCATGTAAATCAAGCTTTGTGAATACTTTTGCTGCTGTGACCCACTGGAAATGTTCTGGAACAAGTGGAAGAGGGTATTTTTTGCTTGACTGTTAGTTTATTTATTTAATTATTTGTTACAGGTACTTAGACAGCACTGTCAATTTACGTAGCGCTTTATATGCATATATTGTACATTCACATCAGTCCTTAGCCCTCAAGGGGCGTACAATCTAAGGTCCCTAACTCACATACAAATACTAGGGCCAATTTAGACAGGAGATAATTAACCTACCAGCATTTCTTTGGACTGTGGGAGGAAACCGGAGTACCCAGAAGAAACCCACGCAAGCACATCTGTCCCTAACCTTCAAGAGACGTACAATCTAAGGTCCCTAACTTACATTCATACATACACATACTAAGGCCAATTTAGACAGGATCCAATTAACCTACTGACATGTCTTTGGAGTGTGGGAGGAAACCGGAGTACCCAGAGGAAACCCACACAGGCACAGGGGAACATGAAAACTCTAGGCAATGGTGCCGTGGTTAGGATTCAAACAAGCGACCCTAGTACTGCGAGGCAGAAATGCTAAACATTTAGCCACTGTGCTGTCTCTATTTAGTTCTCTATCATTCACACAAGGTTTCAGGGTGTGATCTTTCTTTTCAACAAAAAATATGCCAAACCCAGTAGGGGAATGGATGGACAAATGGAACCCCCTTTCCAGGTTTTTATCGATCTACAGGCGCAATGCCTCTAGCTCAAGTTCTGATAAGGGGAAAATTCAACCAAGTAGAATATTGGCCCTGGGTAACAGTTCAATCTGGCAATCGCATGGCAATCGTATGACCGATGGGGCAGGAAGGTCTCAGCCGCCTTGTTATCAAAGACATCTAAGAGATTATGATAAGTGGATGGAACATGTGATGAGGTCTCTGGCTGCATTTTCATAAGGGGGGGCCAAAGTAGTTACCGCTTGGTAAAAAAAAATGTTGCTGACAGTAGGTGGTAGGAAATGACACAGTTCCAGACTCCCAGTTTATTTGGGTTTGTGTGCCTGCAACCATGAAATGCCCAGAATGATGGGAAACAAAACCACTGCATGCCCGGATTCAACAATTGCTTGGGTTTGGATGCTCTTCTCAGGTAGCTGTAAGGAGACAGCCAACAGGAGATGATTGGAGATGCTCTTTACAGGATAACTGGAAGCATCAGAAGCAGGAGCAGACTTCCACGGCCTTACTGGACAGTCATGCAGATAGTGACCTGCACCACCGCAGTAGAGGTATAAGTTGCTCTGCTTGCATCGGAGTCTTTCCTTGGATGACAGAGGTGAAATGGTAAGTCCCAATTGAATAGATTCCACCATGGAGGAGGATGTTGGCGGAGCTGGATCCGGGTGCAAAGAAGTAGCTGGTGTCCAGGTAGGTTGAGTATTGCCAGACCTCTCTGCCCTCCTCCCTCGGATTCTGTGATCAAGTTGAATAGCAAGCTGGGTCAAGTCTGAGAATGTTGTTGGTGGATCCAGTCTGGTAAGTTCATCTTTGAGAGCCTTTGAAAGTCCCAAAAGGTAACTGCTACCACAAGGCTGCATCATTCCAGGCTGTTTTCAGAACTCTATTTGCGGAACCTATAGTCCTCCACGCACTGAAGTCCTTGCTGGAGTGTATGCAGGATAGTGTCTGCTGTAGAGGTTCGTTGGGGATCATCATAAATCTGAGCCATGGCCTCAAAGAGGGAAGAGACTGACAGAAGGACCGGGCTGGTCTGTTCCAAAAGATGATGGGTCCATGATTCTGGTTCTTCATGCAATGGAGAAATGACAAAGCCCACCTTGGTGAACTCAAGAGAAAACATTCGTGGTTGTAACTCAAAATACAGTTGGCAAGCATTGTGAAATATCAGAAATTTTGGCAATTTCCTGGAAAGCGTTTTGGGGTAGGCACCTGAGGCTTCGGGGGAAGGGGGGAGGATCACTACTGTAGATGCAAGAGCTAAAGCTGTAGTTGTAGTGTTCAGGGAGCGCCTACAATCTTCAAGCTGGAAATAACCCTCCTGCTGTCCTGTCACGACATGGATTAGGCTTCGAATTTACTGGCATAGAGCCTCAAGCAGAGAGGTACCTCCTCCAGACTCAGCCATGGCTGAATGGTACTATCACGTACCTGGTAAAGACTGGAATGTTGTGGAGGCCTCTCTTGCACCTCCCGCCCAACACTGCTGAAGGTGGAGACAGAGTGTGAGGGCAAAGAGTGGCAGGAGTGCTGGAGTAGCTGGCTGATGGTGTCCACTCTGTAGGTGGGTAGAGCTGATAGTTGCAGTTCTCATAATGAAATGCAGGAGTAGCTTGGCACCAGAGCAGAAGACAGAAGCAGGACCAGTAGACTGGCAGCGTTCAGCAGTCAGCAACAACCAGGCAGCGAAGGACTGAATTGGCAGACAGAGCAAGTCCAGGAGGCTGGCCAAGGTCAGTAACAGCCGGGCAAAGCGGTACAGAAGCAGCAGGCAAAGGCAAGTCCAGTAAATAGGCGGAGATCAGAGTAATCAGGGCAACAGAGTTTAGGCAGGAGCAGAAGCAATGTCCAAGGGC